AGCAGGATCTCATAAATGTTTGTAGATACCTGAAAGGGAGGGTGTAAAGAGGACAGAGCCAGGCTCTTTTCAGTGGTGCCCAGGACCAGACGTGATGGGCACAAACTGAAACACAGGAGGTTCGCTCTGAACATCAGGAAATGCTTTTTTACTGTGAGGGTGCCAGAGCACTGGTACAGGTTGCCCAGAGAGGTTGTGGAGTCTCCCCTCCAGTGATATTCAAAAGCTGTCTGGACACAGTCCTGGGCAGCCAGCTCTAGGTGGCCTTGCAGGGGAATCTCTGCTCGGACACCTGAAGTACCTCCTCCCCTTCCTTCTTCTCACTTTGGTATCTGCAGGGCTGTTCCTCACACTTCCCCACTGCCCCCCTCACTACCGTGCAGCATTTTGCCCTCTCCTAAATATGTTTTCCCAGAGGTGCCACGAGCTTGGCTGATGGGCTCAACCATGTCCTGCTGTGGGTCTGTTGGAGCCATCTGTGTCCAGCATGAGGCTCTCCTGGCACCTTCTCACAAAGGCCACCCCTGCTGCCAGCACCTTGCATGGGCACTCAACAGATTGTAACACCACTGATAACATTTTGTCATGCAGCTAAGCTTAAATATATAAATAGCAGCCATAATTGCAAGAGGGTAAGTAGAAAGTTGTGATATGGTTGCACAGAGTGCAGGAAAACATGGAGAAGTAAAATTTGCAAGATATCTGTTAAAACTAAAATCCTGCAGAGCAGGCAGGAAGGGTATATGGTGGAAGCAGGATAATCCAGTAGAACAAGCAAAACCAGAACACGTCCAGATCCCAAAAATATCAAAATGTCAAAAGTAAATGAGAGCAGTCTTTGAAGTGCAAGGGGTAGAAAAGCATAAAGCATCCACAGTGACAGAGGGAAGACGGGAAAGAAAGAAAACCTGCTTTGGTTTCTGCCTCCCTCAGAGGCTAAGAACCGTCAAGGGTAGTAGCCATCAGTGCTCACTGAAATTACATCACTTCTGTGGTTTTGTATGCTCCCACCTAATTTAGAGTAAGTTTGTGAAGGCAAATTGTTCTGTGCATGATACTGACTGGTAGTGATGAGGAACTTGCCTTTTGCAATGGGTATAATTAATGAGTATGAATCCAGTAAGGAGTTGTTTTGCACTTGAAACTCTTCCAATTTTCTCAATCTTTTAAACACTCCCATCCCAGCAATCTATAATTCCATAGTTGATATAGAAATCTATGTATGTTCAGTTGCAACACAGCATAAAAACTGGCTGTGTTGCTTGGAACAGGGGTTGGGAGGAGATCTGTGACAGTTCTGGTGTGATGCTGGGGCTGTCTGCCAGACAGCTGTGTGTCGTCCTCAAAGCAGCTTTCACGTTATGGGCTGCTCCTCTTGGCCGCAGGAGCAGAAGTGTTGCTGTGGTGCTTGCTGGGCGATATGAAGGAGTTTCTGGTGTATGATTTGTTCCCTGGGTCCAGTTCACTGCATATCTCTTTTTTGATGAGCAGAGGAATAAAGTAGTGCATGACTTTTTCCATATGTACTCTATTCTCAAAGCATTCTTCTTATTTTTAAACACCCAGATCTTCAATGCAGAATAAGCTTTACAAAACGGAAGTGCAAATATAGTTTCAGCTCCATGAAATAATAACCTAATTTGACACAGTGTACATGTTTTTATGGAGACACTTGTTCTTTGTTATGGTTTTGTTTTAATAGAATAACTGTAGAACAGTCAGTTGTTATGCCACTGTCTTGCTTAGGAGTACCAACGTGAATGCTTGTTGGATTGTCTTTTCTTTTTCTTGGAAAAAAATACTCTGCACAACTTCAAAACTGAAAATGCATGAGTCAGCTGAAAATGCCTGCTCCTCTGTGCAAGAAATCCATCTAAGTTAAAGAATTCACAAGGAACATAAACCTTTTAGTCACCATTTTTCTGCTGTTGAAGCTGCATGCCTATAGAACAAAGAAAAAAAAAATACTGATTCTAATGTACTTTTCCATTTTGTTTTGTATCTCTCCTCCCCCACTTCTAGGTCTGCCAGTTTTACAACAGAAAGAATGGTATCTGCAACCAGCAAAACAACTGCAACAAGCTTCATATTTGTCGACACTTTCTCCAAGGGGAATGTAGATTTTTACCGTGCAATAGATCACATAACCTCTTGGATACCCATGCATTGAGAGTGTTGGAAACTGGAGGCATTGATGCAAACATAGCTTCAAACATCCAGGCTATATCTGATCACCAGCATGTGGAATTCAACAAGGAACTGAAGAAGGGAAAAAGTAAGTTGTAGGAAACACTGGGTTTAAATGGGATTCTGAGTTTGATAGAGGTAGAAGCCATTCTTGCCTTACCTCACAGCTAAACTCCATCATCCTTTCTGTGCTCTCAGTACACGACTACAAACCAAGAGAAAATTTATTGAAAAATCCGGCAGTTATAAGGAGTAAAGAACCAAAGATACCTTTGCAAACAGTGGGCTCCACTCTGCATGTGCCACTTCCAGAAGGTAAATATCTAGATAAGTACCAACTACTTTCATGTGGAATCAGCTTTGCTATTTCCCCTCTTACAACATGTACATATTTTTTTCCCTTCTGCCATTGATCTGCTTTCAGGAATGGAGTAAGCCAAGGTGGAGTCATGTGGGAGGGAGAGCTGTATTACTACTGCCCAAAATACTGCATGCAAACCTGCTGTTGAGTGGCTGCTGATAACTGTGACTAGCTGGGACTTGTAACTGTTATTGCTGATCTGTTAAGTCAGCAGTGGAGTTCCGGTGAAAAATTATGTGTGACAGATGTAATGCTCAACACACAAATTGGGATGCTGCCAGCTAGCTGAGGTTCTGGTCCAGCAGTACTGTTTATTCAGTCTTCTTCTCATGCAGGTCTCAGTAGCAGTGTACCTGGTCAGAGCCAACACCAGTTGCCAAGAGGAGCTGGAGGTAAAGGCAAAGGTATGGATTGTTTCTAAACCTCTGGTCCTGAGATCAGTAGTTCTTATTGGGATTTGGTTTTGCACAGCCCTACAGCTCCCTGTGGTAGTCGGAGTGCAGCTTTTGTGCTTACCCTACTCTATGCTGAAAGCCAAAGTACCAGACAGCCTGCGGAGGAGTGTTGAAATTTCTTGCACAGCACAGCATCTGTTTGTGTCCACTCTGGGGAGTGGTCTGGGATTGTGTGGTAGTTTGACCCACAGTGGGACCATGTGGTCCTGCATTCACTCCCCCCACCCAGAGAGATGGGACAGGACTCACCACGAAGGGGCAGAGGATTAGGAATGAAGGACAGGGACAGCTCACTCACCAGTTATGGTCATGGACAAAACAGACTCAAATTGAGGAAGAAAAATAAATTTAATTAATTGCAAATCATCCAAGTAGACATAACAACCACACCTCACAACACCTTTCCCCACCCCTCCCTTCTTCCCAGGCTCAAATCACTTTGCTCCCAATTTCTTTACCTTCCCCCCCTGCGGCACAGGGGGCAGGGAATGGGGATTCAGTCAGTTCACCTCTGCTGCTCTTCCCAGCATGAAAGTCCAGGAACAAGATGTTCCAACATGAGCTTCCCATGGAGTCACGGACCTCTTTGGGCTCAGCTCAAAGATCAAATCTCCTGTCCTCCTGTGCAGAAGGGTCCTGGCTTTAAAGCCTGTCAGTGCTAAGGCAGTCAACTCCTTGTTATTTTTAGGTTGAAATACCAAATGCGTTGTCTTTCTCTTAGGGTTGTATTTTGGTATGGCAAATAAGGACTGATGTGTTCTTTCCTGTAGATAAAAAAGACGATTCCTCTGCTAAAGCTTCAAAGAACAACCAAGAAGATAAATGTGATGACATATGCGTGTTCTACGTCTGGAAGTACTGCAAACATAAAGGTAAGCTTTATAAAGAGTAATGTTATCTTCGGAGAGCTGTGTCTGCAGAGGCATTCCCCACTGAGTGGCTTGGACTACTGGTGACATATGGAGTGGAAGTGCCAATTGTGCCTTCTCACTCATTGGCTTTGTTTCAAAGTCACTAACAAACAAAGTCAGAATTACAAACACTGTGATGGTTTGGGTGGATTCACCCTTTTGGCTTGCACCTTGCAGCCAAACACAGCCTGCTCTCTCTTAGCCTCCCAGGGAGCAGAGGAGAGAATTGTAAGGAAAAGGGCAAAGAAACTCACGGGTTGAGATAAAAACTATTTACTAATTAAAATAAAATTATAATGATAACAACAGTGATAACAGACTATACAAATGAGTGATGCACAGTGCAGTTGCTCACCACCCGCTGACCGATGCCCAGCTTGTGCCAGCCAGCGATCCTGGAGCCGAGTCAGTCCTGAAACCGAAACCCCAGAAGAGCGAGAGCCTTAGCAATCCCCAAGAGAGAATACCCCCGTCTTCCGGTCATCCCTGGTTAATATACTGACATGACGTGATATGATATGGAATATCTCATTGGCACAACCAGATGCCAGTTTGGGTTTGCTATTCACTGCGCTTCTCCCTCTCGGTCCTAATGCAGCTGTGAACCAGCCAAACACTGGCCTTGAGCTCCAGCAGCAACTAATAACATTAGTATTTTTATCAATGTTCTTCTCATAACAAGTCTTACACTGAAACTAAAACACAGCTATTCTAACTATTAAAAAGAAAAATTAACTCTACCCTAGCAAAACCAGGTCAAACGCAGTCAGAGGAAAGTCAAGTGAATGCACTTACACCCTTTCTCCTCTGGATGATCCATCTATGGCCTGTTTCAGCCCTGTTGATGAGGGCAGGCTTTGGGTATGTTTCTGTGCCAAAAACCCTTCAAGTGTTACTATTAGATCAGTTTAAGAGGTGGTCTCATGCTGTCATCATTGACAACTGGTAGCAATATATCATCCTTTATTCCAGCTGTATCCTATGTACGTACATCAGATAATAGCCCTATTCTCCCCCATTAAGTCCTTTAAAAAGTGATCCCAGGTGTTAAAACGTCTTAAGAAAACATAGTAGTTGTACCAGCTAAGCTGAAGAGAAATCCAGTCCATCATCTCTCTGGCAGTGGCCAATAAAAGAGGCCCGGGGGAAAAATATAAGTACAAACAATTGTATTCAGGGGCTGTCCCTGAACAGTCGCTTAGCGTTTGTGTCCTGGTAAAGATGCAGTTCTCCTGTCAGAAGCTCTTTTTCTGAGAGGCAGATGAGTAAGTTACTTTAGGGCTTGATAATAACTCTTCTTCACCATTACTTCGAAGACAGACAGTACTTTAAAAAACAAATTGCATGAGTATTTTATGGACCATAGAAATGAAATCTGGCCAGGAGAGACCAAATATGGTTTTGTCTGCAACTTTCCGATTAATTTAAGCACAGTGCTTTCAAGACAGGGTGCACTCCAGCCCTGTTAACAAAAAGAAGGAAGAAAGGAGTGAATGACACTGTTGCCTTCATAACCAGGGTTAGTTTCCATATGTTCTGTGGTCAGATGCATGAGGGGTCAGGAATGGTGAAACTCCTTCTGGCTCTATCTGTGCAGCAGCTCCTCCAGCCTTGTAGCACATTTCTCAGACTCTTAGCTTCTCTAGGGCCAGGCTTGAGGCTTAAGTTTATGAACTTTTGAACATGTGTAATGTGAATGGTGTACCCATGTGCTAGCTGTGGAGGTCAGGCTCCAAGCAGGTATACTGTGACCACCAAATAGCTAGACTCCAATAATGATTGGAGAGTTAGTGTGATTTGCCATGCCATGTTTGGCTCAAAAATTGTAAATAAGAAGTTTGGTCCATACTGGAGTGTAAATTAGCTTTCCCCAGTGGGAGGCCTGCAGGTCAGCCTCTGCCTGTATCCAGCAGCACACACTCGTCCAGGGGTGTTAAGCAGGTCTGAACTCAAACATGCAAACATATATGCATTGAAAATGTAGATGACTTTAAAAAAAACCCAGAAGTCTTCCCCTTCCTATGTGAAGGGTATATAGCAGTGCTGCAGGTCTTGCATGCAAGGCAGTTTAAAGTTGCAGCTTCCCATTTTCTGAGAAGCAAAGCAACAATTCCAGCAGTGCCTAGCAGTCTTGTTAGCAGGGCTTTGTGCTGCATGTTCAGAGGTGAGTGTACAGCCCCTCCTGGGGGGTGTTCTGTGGAGTATTGCAGTCCTTTATGATGGGGGAAAAAACATTCAGGCCCTGGTAACCACCTCATAAACTCTAAGGGACTAAGGGAAAAAGAGAACCAAATATATCAGAGTGCTTATGTGATGTGTAGACTGGACTTCTTACAGCTGAGAAACATGCCTCCTCCCTGGAAGTGTTCAAGGCCAGGTTGGATGAGGTTTTGAGCAGCCTGGTCTAGTGGAAGGTGTCCCTGCTGATGGCAGGGGGGTTGGAACTGGATGATCTTTAATATCCCTTCCAACCCAAACCATTCTCTGATTCTATGTTGGTGTGACACATAGACACACTTCCTATCTATGGCACTGCTCTCTCAGCTGCCAATGTCATGTCTCAGCAAAGGGAAGGCTGTGGTTTCTTTGAAGTATATTTGGCAGTATGAAAGCTTATGTTGCTTTTCTAGATAAGACTGGAGAAACACATGCCCTTATTGTTCAAATATATTTCTGTTTTTAGCGCTCTTATTGCTGTCATGGCTTAGGCCCAGCCAACAGCTAGGACCATGCAGCCACTCGCTTGCTCTTCTCCCTTCTGGTGAGATGGAGAGGAGAAGATATAGTAAAGGGCTTGTGGGTCGAGACAAGGACAAGGAGGTATCACTCACCAATTATGGTCAAGAGCAAAATGGACTCAACTCGTTCAGAATAGGATAATGAGACATAAAACCAAATCTTAAAAAACACCTTTCCCCCCACCCCTCCCTTCTGTCTGGGTTCAACTTTTTCCCAGTTTCTCTGCCTCCTCCCCCTCAGTGGTGCAGGGGCATGGGGAATAGGGGTTGTATTCAGTTCATCAAACATAGTCTCCTTCCTCCTCAGGGGGAGGACTCCTCACACTCTTCCTACTCTAGCATGGGGTCCCTCCCACGGTAGAGTCCTACACGAGCTTCTCCAACATGAGTTCTTCCCCCAGGCTGCAGTTCTTCACGAGCTGTTCCAGCGTGGGTCCCCCCACAGGGTCACAAGTCCTGCCAGCAAACCTGATCCAGCGTGGGCTCCTCTCTCCACGGGGCCCCAGGTCCTGACAGGAACCTGCTCCAGCGCAGGCTTCCCGTGGGGTCACAGCCTCCTTCAGGCATCTACCTGCTCTGGTGTGGGGTCCTCCATGGGCTGCAGGTGGACATCTGCTCCACCATGGACCTCCATGGACTGCAGGGGGACAGCCTGTCTCACCATGGTCTTTATCATGGGCTGCAGGGAAATCTCTGCTCTAGCACCTGAAGCACCTCCTCCCCTTCCTTCTTCACTGTTCTTGGTGTCTGCAGAGGTGTTTTTTCTCACATATTCTCACTCTTCTCTCTGGCTCCAATTGCATAGATTTATTTCTTACCTTTCTTAAGTATGTTTTCCCAGAAGTGCTACTACCACCGCTGATGGATTCAGCTTTGGACAGCAGCGGGTCCATCTTGGAGCTGTTTGGCATTGATTGTGTTAGAGACAGGGAAAGCTTCTGGCAGGTTCTCACA